TGTCTTAAAAGAAACCCAAATATATATTATAAACTACAGTAGTATCAATTATTCTTAAACAAGAAAGCAAATAAAACCGTAACCCATCCAAATATACTAAAATAGGAGAAAGAAGTATTCTTCTATTAAAATAAATGATAGATATTTATTAAGAGATTGAGAAAAATAAGAATATTTTGATAATTAAAATATTAAAAATTTTAAATGGCAATACTTTTTTCTTTTATTTTAAGTAGATTTAAATTAATTTTTTAATTTTTTAATTAAATTTTAAATAAAAAGTTAGTATATTATATAAATAATAATTAAAATTTTTATCAAATAAAAATATTTGATAAAAACTTTATATAGAAAAAAAATTTAATTATTGTTTATATAAATTATTAAATTTTCATATAAAATTTATATTTAAAAAATAAAAAATAAATCAAATTTACTAAAAATAAATTTAAAAAGTAATATATAAAAAACTTATTAAAAGTATTTAAATAATTTTACATTAATATTTAAAATGTGATGATGTTTTAACTTTTCTTTTTCTTTTATTTATTAATAACTTAATTGATCAAGGATAATTTTTTTATTAAATATAAAAGATTATAAGTTTATTTCACATGTGATAAAAAAATGATATTGAAAGATACAAGAGAGTGGCATTTTATTACATAACCCCCAAATTGAAAAGAAAATAAAAAGAAATAAATAATGAACAGTTATAATTAGACACTTTCTTATATTCAAATCCTTATCTAAAAATAAATAAATAAATTATTTTTTTTAAAGATAAATATGAAATTTCACACTCTAATAATTAGTATGCCAATTACCTTGTAACCTAAGTGGTCACTCTCTTATATGAAGTTAGGTTGTAATATGAAACTAAAGCTTGGATTTCAATTCAAATCTAGCAAACCACATCCTCTATCCCCTAAACATTCTCTTTGTTCAAAATAAATAAATAAATAAAATATACAGTAATGTTTTTAAACAATCTTTTAAATGCTTTTTGTCTGGACAATAAAAATATCTCAAGCAAATTTGTAGACACGTCGAAATTAATAATTGTTTAAAAAATTTTAATGATACAATCATATATTAATCTAGTATTTTTTATTTAAATTTAGTAAATTTAATTTTTAATTTAAGTGTTCAAATTTAATTATCCACTTTTTCTTTTTAAAATGTTATACTTTTGTTTTAAAAAAATAATTACAATATATACTTTTCTTGGTCAACTTTACTGATTCTAATTTGATTTTTTAATTTTTTAAATAAAAATTTGACAACTTATATGAATAAAAATTAATTTTTTTTCATATATATAGTTTTTGTTGAATATTTTTATTTGATAAAAAATTAATTATTATTTATATAATATGTTAAATTTTTATTTAAAAATCATACTTAAAAAGTTAAAAAATTAAATTAGAACTATTAAAATTAAATGGAGTTAGTATTAAATAAAAAGCTTTATTTAAGTAGTGATTAATTATAAATAAATATAAATTTTTATTAATAAATAATTACACCTCTATTGGACTAAACCCAAAAAAAAAAAAAAAACTAAATTTACTAAAATTAGAATGAAAGAATACATTAAAAAAATAATGATAAATGAGAGGAAGTAAAATTTAAAACAAATGATATGGTATAAATTACTTTATTTAATATATTAAAAAATAGACTTTATATTATTTAACAATTAATTTTTTATTATATTAACGTTTATAATAATATATATATGAAATTAATATTTATTTATCTTATCTTTTAAATTTTTAAAAAATTACTATAAAATTATGT